ACCCGATAGGCCTATGCAGCAATCGTCACTGCCCCCCCCCCCCCCTTCAATACTTTGATGCAAGTTTCCTCGAACCATATATTTTATCCAAGAAGTAGATAACATACCGTTTTCCAGCATAAAAATCATCCTTATCAAAAGAATCTAGGATTCTGTGCCCAGGCTTTCCTCTGTGTCTTCTTTTCCACATGTTTATTGTATCCCGCTTCAAACAATTGGACTTCCGCTTTTTTTACACACGCGCATGCGTAATCTAGAAGTGTGTAACGTCAGAGATGTGTAAGTGAAGATGGCGATTTCAATCAACACGATATCTGTGTAATCATGTGTATGGAACGCCGTCACTGCCTTATAACAGAACACAACAATTGCACTGCGTCAACCTTCCATTACATTATGTCAACTCTATATGACATTTACTCACACAACTATTACATTGTGTCAACCTTCTATTACATTATGTCAACTCTACATGATATTAACTCATACTACTATAGCATTGTGTGAACTTTCCCTTACATTATGTCAACTCTTTATGACATTTACTCACGCTACTATTGCATTGTGTGAACTTTCCTTTACATAATGTCAACTCCATATGACAGTTACTCAAACTACTATTCCATTGTGTCAACCTTCCATTTCATTATGTCAACTCTTTATGACACTTACTCACACTACTATTGCGTTGTGTCAACCTTCCATTATATTATGTCAACTCTTTATGACATTAACCCACACTACTATTGCATTGTGTCAACCTACTATTATATTGTGTCAATTCTTTATGATATTATCCCACACTACTTTTGCATCGTGTTAACCTTCCTTAACATTATGTCAACACTTTATGACATTTACACACTCTTGCATTTCGTTATGTTTACTGTTCATGACATTTAATTAAACAACAATTCCATTGTGTTAACCTATCATTACATTATGTCAATTCTTTATGATATTAACTCACACTACTACATTATGTCGATTCACTATTACGTTATGCGAACACGGGTATCCTCGGCCTTTATATGAGCATAACGTATTTTCCGCGTTCCGCAAGCACTAAAATTGGCGGGGGAGATAATTGTCGTAGAAGAAATCTCAGCGATTTGGGAATGGCATCTTTAAATAAAAATTTTAAGCGACAAAGGATTGACAATCTTGAAACGTGCAAAGCCTTAACACTGCGACTGTGACTTAAAGTCACTTCGAAATTCAATGCATGGCGTTTACTTTATTCTGATAATTAGATAAATCAAATATTATGTCTTGCACATTCTTTTTTTCTTTTTATTTTGAATTGTTTGTTTGTTTGGGATTTTTTTTGGATAAAAGTCTTAAACTTCTGATCTTACTAAGAACATTGTCATAATTTTTTTTATCAGTCTTGAACTTTCCTTTTTTTTAAAGTGTAAACACATCGTATAACACACGTGCACTGGTGGGTTGGTGGGGGGGGGGGGGGAAATCCCGCCCTACCATCTTTAGTGACCAAAATCTACATGTATATAGAATTAATAAATTTATTGCTTTACTTTGTAGGACATTGCATTAGTTTCACATTAAGTTTAGCTGAATTAAGTTGAAAACTTTTTTTATATAAAACTATAAAGCCTGAGAGCTTCTCCGCTTTCCCCCTTGGTCTCCAACCATAAACCGTCCCCCTTCGGGCTTGAAGAATTTTTTTTATTCAAGATTCTCATATCCGCTACTGATATGTGTCTATGCATGCTTACTAAGGCATATTCAATTGATTTAGATGAGGGATTGGTAGATTTTTGTAATAGAATTCTGGCCCTGGAATGGTTGAAAAAATTACTAAATACAGTGACGTATTATCTTTTTCGAAAGAAGGGGGGATGGGGGTCAGCCAGAAAAAAAATATTCGCCTGAAAAAAAACTTGAGAAGCAAAAAAAAAAATAATAATAATAAAAAAAATGGTCCACTCCAAGCCCGAAAATACTATTTCGGGGAGGGGGGTCCAACTTCGATCAGTCCTAATTTTTTGTCAAATATACCCCATTATACCCTCAGTGGACTATACTTCAAGAAAAAGTGGAGGTGGGGGCTGTACTTTCAATGAACATTACATTTTCTATTGTAAAGTTATGTCTTGGAAAAGAGGGGGGGCTGATATTTTGTGCCTGTAATTCTTCCTAATCAATCAGGACCCCCCCCCCCCCTCTTACCAGTCATAAAAACACGGTCGTCAACATTCATTTTATACCAGATATACAGCTTTGAGATAATGTAAATGTATTTTTACATCAGGTAATGCACTTTTGGAATCAACATGATAAAGAGTTAACACAATATAAAGATATTTTAAGATCACATAAGAAAGAGTTGACATAACGTAAGTATATATCCACATCACGGAATGGAGTTTTGACATAATGTGATAAAGTGTTGATATAATATAAAGATATGTTCACATAATGTCATACACTTTTTACACCACGTAATAAATCACTGACATAAAGGTAAGATGTATTCACCTCACATCATGATGCTCTCGCCGTAAAATAAAGATAAACCCATATCATGTAATAATGCTTTGATATTATAGAAATATACACTCTCAAAAAGGAATGGATTTTTGACATAATGTAATGATAAGTTTAATTATAAAACACAATTCACTTGACGTAATGCAATTTTGACCTCACATATTAAAGAAATGAAATGATATAAAGAAACATTCATTCACGTAATAAAGTTTTAACACAGAATAAACACATTATCACTTCACATAATGAATTTTCGACTTCGAGTTATGAAGTGCTAACATAATGAAAGGATGTATTTACTTCATGTAATGCAGCATTGACATGATGTAAAGATATTTTTACATAATCTCATAAGAATTGACATAACGTAAAGATATGTTCACATCACGTAATGATAAATTGACATAATAAATGCATAGTTGTATGCTATAAGGCAGTGTTGGCGTTCCATACATGTGTCCGATAAAACCCCGTAACTGGGACACATTATTTTTTTGATATTTTTAGGGTTTAGACATGTCACTTTTTCGTTTTCAACGATAAAAAAGATTGGGGACTTAAATCAAGTCCCCAATGTTTTTTATGTCCCCATTTTACGACTTGCGTATCTGTAGCAGGTCCCCAGTATGGGGGAGCCACACACGCACACCCTCTCACACACACACACACACACTCACACACACACACACAAATAAATAAAAAAATAAAATACAAAAATACTCAAAGCAAAAACAGCAAATTAGACTTTCATGTATTTTCCTGGACAAACACTATCGCGGAGTCATAGAATCGTTTTTAAAAAAAGGTGGGGGGGGTCAACTTAATTTAAAAAAAAATTGACACTAGCTAAAAAAACTAATAAATAAAAATGAAAATGGTCAAATAAACATTTCTATTTCATGGAATTAGGGATGGGGGCCCAAGAACTTTAGGTACAACATATATAGATATATTTTTACTCAAACACTAAATCACCCCTATTTGGCAATGCTGCGACTTAAATTAAGTGGAGGGGGGGGGGGTAAAAACTTTTTTGTGGGGGGTTGGAGGTGGGCAGATCCCCCCCCTTCCGCATCCCGAATGCTATGTGCCTGTTTGATTCAATTCAACTAACATGACGAAAACGTTCATTAAGCTAACGACCAGCAAAATCTTAATAATACAAAATCTTGTACTTGATTTATTTACCATAAAGACTTCTATTTTTATCATTGTAAATTATTGTTATAAACTGCTAGAACAACATCCCATATCTTTTTCCCGCTAAAGAATATTTATTTTGGGGTGTTCCGAAAGACGTCGTTTTTCGGTAGTGTGAGTCGTAATAAAATTCTTGTGGGGAAATTTGATTGGCTTAGGTTATACGTTAAACAATTGAAGTATGTCAATCAATGAAGGTGAGAAGTTGTTTCAGATCGATAAGACATTATAATTATAATGTTAAACTTTGGTTATGTCGTAAAATGAACGAGAAAAGGGCACATGTAACTGTGGGGAATCAACATTTTCCCCACAATTTCCAACTTTCCCCACAATGTTGGTCTTATGACCAGTCCATTTCCTCGTAATGTAGGGATCTCGGGTACTCTCTCTCTCTCTCTCTCTCTCTCTCTCTCTCTCTCTCTCTCTCTCTCTCTCTCTCTCTCTCTCTCTCTCTCTCTCTCTCTCTCTGGATTGAGGGTGGATTTGAACTTTACTCCCTAACTCCCACATTTTAAAGATTTTTTTCTTGTCCTCCTTGAAGGTGTATTAGAGACATTGAGAGCCATCCCTAGCCTGTGTTTGGATGGAGAGTTGAACTGCATGGAGAATAGTCCCTCCTCATTGGGTGGCCGTGTTCTGTTATCGACTAATCGAAAGGGAAGGTAAAGACGTTCAATTGTATCAATTGCTTATAGTAAACAGGAAAAACGGGGGAGATTCATCTGAGAATGAAAATATATCTACGTGATTGTAATTTTAGAGGAAGGGGATTTACATAGAGCTACTTGTATATTAGGCCCACAATATAGATGTTAGAGCTGATTTCAATAGACCTGACGGATTACGCTGTTTGTGACGTGCTAACGCTTTGCTTGTCTAGAGGTTTAAATACTACGTCACATATTCACCACATCAAAGGAAGTAGCCGTGATCGCTTCTCTCCCACGCTTAAGTCGGTCAACTGCAATACACATCGTTCAAATTAATTTTGAACACATTGGCGACGGTAGCTGACACTAAATTGTTAAGGAAAATAAGTACAGAAATGAGTCATTATGAAGCTTTTCTGCATTAAACTTGGAAATGTACCAAATTAATGACGTCAAATTACATGATGGTCCTCCTTCATGCCATATTCCTTAGTGTCAGATTTATCATTTTCATCTACTCAACTCTTGTTAAAGCAGATTTCAAAATTTTTAAGAACTTTTATAATTTTTGGAGGCACAATAAAGCAGAAACAACACCTTTTTCTTTCAAGCACACAAGCATTTCCTTTGTTTACAGACTTAAAATAAAACTGTTTTGATAAAAATATGGATTGATTTATTTTCGATTTAGCCACATGGTGGCTCATTGCTATGCCAATGGTTTGATAACAGTGGATGTTCAACATTTTAAGTCAGAGAAAAGCTCAGACACCCTCCATGATGAAATGACGGTAAGATAAAATGCTTAGAGTTTGATTTATAACAAAGAAAAAGAGAATAAATGCCCAACTTTGATAAAATATGCCATGGAAGTATCGATGTTTTCGTGCCGTTATTGATATAAAGTATTTTTATATTTGAATATCTATCAACTACATGGCCAAAAAATAATTTTTATCGTTGACTTCTTGTAAAAACAACTGATCAGGATATATATAATTCACACCAATTTCAACGACAATACGATATTTGTAGCTTTTGGTGTTAATGAATATTTATATACGCATATTTAAATATATATTGCACATTTGCAGAACGCACAATACAGTACATGAAATCACACTTTTCGTAGTTTACAGCAATAAGTAAGCATTGCAAGTAAATGATGTGTTAAAATGACAGATGCTAAACAGTACAAGGAGAAAAGTTTCATACAAATGGATTATTCAAACAACCGTTCCATTGGATCCAAATTACTCTTCCTGTGATTTTGATTCTTTTAAATATATAAACGTAGATGATATCCAGTGTTTCTATTGCAGAAGTGGAACGTGAATTTATAATTTCTTTTCAAAAGTGCGAAGCAAAAGAGCTACAGTACATGCATTTATTAAAATACATGTAAAAATCACTGTTGAAAATGTTTCGAAAATTATTATAATTATAAGATATATCGATTTTAATGTTACTGCTAAATTAAACTGATAATGTCAATTTTCAGACCGCTAAGAACTTGGAGGCAAAGATCCGTGAGTCGCTTGGAGACCTTTGCAAGTACAGCAGATGGTAAAAAATCAGTCTGTATACTAGTAATAGTTGTATTGACAATTTGAACCATATTAGGCATGCACTGTAAAAATCACATACATAAAAGGGTCATATCTTTCGTGGTTTGAGAATAAATAAATTTGTTCATGGGGGATTTGATTTCCTGGTTGATGAATGGTTCAGAAGTAATTTATGCGACAAAAATGCATTTTGCTGTAGTTTTCATTTTCAACAACTTCTCTTTTTTTATATAGATTTTCATAAAAAAGTTTCGTGGTGAATATAAGTTCGTGGGTCTCCTTATTATCGAAAAAAGAAAGTCAAAATTAAAATCCCAAAAAATTAAACTTTCTTAGGTTAAAAGATGATCACATATATGGCATCTACAAGTACAAGTGAAGTTTTGGGAAAAAATTATTTTAAGTAGATTTTTCGAATAAATTCGACTATCGTTCGAATAATGCTGTCGAGTACTCGGCTGAGGAAAATAAATATTTTGACATCCTTAATATTAAGTAAACTCCTAGTCCAATAAAAGGTACAAGTATTTAATCAGTAAGTTAAGTAACTCTACTAAACTGTAAACATCACAAGTACATACACTTTTTTACAGTTTGCCTGGAGAAATAACACGAGGGGAGCTCACTCCATATTTTTCATCCGGAGGTGACACCCTTTATGAATACGAAAACTTGAAGCTCATGTTCGAGAAAGATTCCAAATTTCAGAACATCAAAATCTACCACAATCCTGAAGTTGGAAATTTCATGTGTTTGGATGATGATATAAGTACGTTAAATAGGCGACTTCCTATTTACAAACGAATTACATGTATCTTTTTTTTGTAAATATCAACATGATTTAACTATATATTGTAATTGCATTTAATCATGCTCTAATAACAAGTATATTACGAAATATCTTTTTAAAGGAACTCTTGTCTAGTCGCCATATCCTTTATATTACAAAACTTTTTTTACACCAATCGATACTGAAAAGGAGTTCCATTTAATTCCATGGCAGTTCAACAGCATTCCATTAAAAATAAAGTGAAAATTAGCTTCATCGGATTATAATATAAAAAATCAAAGCGCTTTTGTTTTTGCTTTTCAGTGATCGGCGAAAGTGACCTTATTTACACGCAGACGTTACTGGGCATCGAGCGCAACGATTTCCGGGATAAAACTGTTTTGATTCTAGGGGGAGGAGACGGGGGAATAATGTATGAATTGCTGAAAGAGAACCCCAAACACGTGCTAATGGTGGAGGTTTGTATCTTAATATATTTGTTAATTCTCATTTCCTTTCTCTAGAAAACATTTACAATAAGATTATAACGGATGGGTTCTTACCAGTGCAATATAACATTGAAAATAATGAGATAACAAACAATAATCAAGGTCAAATGTCCATTTAAACGATACAAATCGGGAACAGGAAAACACGGATCTTTCAATAACATCAGAAGTTGGCCATGGATAACTGAGGTGGAGAAATAGGCATCCCGTCAACCGTAACATCCTACGTATACTACTTCAAATAAAACCCTTGACAAAAATTATATTAAAAAATAAAACAAAGAAAAAAATGCGAAATACGTAATGAAATAATACATACATGTATATAATGTAGAATATCCCACATCTCTTTTATGAAACTGATTAAACATGTAATGGATTATATTAAGCATACAGGAAAGAGATGTGCAAAAGCTTCTAAATATTTAAAATTCTCAAATTCATAAGGTTTGGATATTTAAGTACAGCTATTTGTAAGAACCAGGCAGGGGGTGATTCATGACCAATTCAGATTTTTACAAAATTTTAATATGTTGCTTCATGGACCAAGGGAACATCATTGGACAACATATTTTTTTTGGTCAGCCTTTGTTGCCATGGAAACAATGCACCATGTAAACGCACATGGCAACCAAGCAAAAAATTGAAAATATTGTGAATTTAGCTATTATTTAACGCAGGAACAGACCTCTTCTGATGAAAAAAATATAAATAAATCTTTTTTTCCTGAAAAGTACATACAAAATGATTAATAATTACCATAAGGATAAAATTATTCAGGATTTATAAAAGGTGCTGAACGTCAATTTAATATACAGTGTTTCATGAAATTCACTTTTTACAATATTTCTTAAAATCTAACATATTTTAGAAGCATATTAA